ACAGTTCGGAGCAGGACCAGGAGAGGTTTAGAACTCTCCCGGCCCGCCAGGCTTAGGAACGGGCCAGGTCGCAGAACGACCTCCGTCCTCCATAAGCGTAGGCCTGGAGGTAACAGGTGAGGCCATCTGTCATCCTAGCTGAAGCAGGCCGGGGTGGCGGCTAGCAAGGTGCGAGGCGCGCGTGCCCTTACGGGAGCACAGAGGGAACATGGGGGTTCCCACACAGGGGGGGTCGTCTACCCGCCGTAGATGGCCCGAGGTACGTCGGGGCCCCAGGGATTTCCTTTCTAGGGCACATCTGGTTTCCCGACTACTGGTACGGGAGACGGCGTGCGGTTTTAGTCGGTTCGAGTCTGACATTGCCACCGGTAAATGGTATCCGAAGGGATTTCCGCACAGAAAAAAAGGGTAAACTGGACAAAAATGATTTACATTATGAAAGGAGCAGGCGTGGACTATAGAGACAGACGAATAATTTATAAATTATATAAAAACCAGCAAACAATAATAGTCGAGGGAGAAGAGAAATAATTAGCAACTATTAAGCAAGGAGTAAGAAAGGTGTGCCCTCTGTTACCCTTAATTTTTAATATTTTTATCGAATATGCTATAAGGAAAAATAGTAGAATCAGGTAAAGGAGGGGTTACATTTAATGGGCAGACCATACGCTTTATCAGGTTTGCAGATGATATCACAGCAATAGGCGACAACACAAACAATTAAGAACAACTTCCAACAGTAATCAATAAAACTTTAAAGATTTTGGATTAAAGATAAACTTAAATAACACTAAAATTCTAATTACCTCAAAATTTACATCTTTAACTACTCATATTAAAATTAATTATATTTGAATAGAATAAACAGAAAGCTTCAAATATTTAGGTAGCCGAATAGGACAATATTCTAGATGTTCCCCAGACATAGTAGAGAGACTCGCAATCGCCAAACAAGCCTTCAATCGCAAGAAACGCCTGTTCAAGGCCAAGATCAACACCGAAATAACCAAACAGCTTATCAAGATATAAATATATATGGAGTATTGCACTTTCTGGCTGTGAAACGTGAACGCTTATCAAAAGAGACAGATACAGGTTAGCAGCATTTGAAATGTGGTGTTGAAGGCGAATGATGAACATCAGTTGGACTGACAAAAGAACCAATGAGTAGGTCCTGCAAATGATGAGCGAAGAGAGGCAATTGTTGAATGCCGTTGAAAACAGAAAAGGCAAAATGGTTGACCAGCTGATAAGACATGACAACTTCTTCAGAATAATAATAAAGCCCTTTTCTTCCGAATTCACTACAGCTTTGACAATACATATTTTCGAGTTCTATTTGTTATATTATGTCTCGCAATTCGGTGCGCCTCCTGGCATAGGCCTCCTCCAGCTCTCTCCGCTGAGTTCTATCCTCTGCTACCCTAGTCCAATAAGGTGCTGTCCAACACCATTTTAAATGATCTATGCGAGTTAGTGGCGTGCAATGGGAGAGGCCTATGTCCAGCAGTGGACTGCGATAGGCTGATGATGATGATGATGCGAGTTATTATATCTGCAACTTTAGTTTTTCTTCTTATTTCAGAATTTCTAATTTTACCACTAAGTTTGAGTCCCAACATGCTCCTTTCCATTGCCCTTTGTGTACTAGCCAGATTTTCTCTTTGCTTGTCTGTTATTGCCCAAGATTCGCAGCCGAATGTCATGCACGGGAGGATGCAGGTGTTGAAGGTCTTTTTCTTTATATGCATACCTAAGTTTTTGTTCTTCATTATTTCTTCTAGGGACCAGTATTTTTTCCATCCGCAAGCTATTCTTTTATTTATTTCTTTAGAGATAGAGTCCTCCGGAGATATAATTTGACCCAGGTAAACATATTCCTTTACATATTCCAACCTGTTTCCGTAAACCTCTATGTTGACTTCCGAAGAGTTGGTTATCAGTTTTGTTTTGTTTGCAGTCATTAACAATCCTACATCACTGCCTTTTTCCGCTATTCTTTCTAGCATATGTCCTAGTTATTTAGGGTCTTCTTCTAACAGGACAATATCATCAGCGAATCTCAGATGGTTAAGGCGGCTACCGTTCATGTTGATACCACAGTTTTCCCAGTTCAATCTTCTAAATACGTATTCCAGCACAGCGTTGAACAGCTTGGGAGAGAGCGGATCTCCCTGTCTCACGCCTCTGTTTATAGGGAATGGGTCTCCTATTGTTTCCAATTTAATGTGACTTTTGCATAGATTTTATTATTTGTAAATAGGCCTCATCCACTCCTTGTTCTTTTAGACTCAGCCAGATAAATTTATGGTTTAGGCTGTCAAAAGCTTTGGAATAGTCTATGAAGCAGATGTATAAGGGTTTTTGGTGTTCATTATATTTTTCCAAGACTTGTTTGATAGTGTGGATGTGATCTATTGTACTGAAATTCTTCCTGTATCCTGCCTGTTCAATTGGTTGGTTTTCGTCTAGGACCCTTGTTATTCTTTCCAGGATTAATTTTGCAAAGACCTTATACACATTTGAAATGAGGCTTATTGGTCTATAATTGCTGATGTTAACCTTATCTCCTTTCTTATGGAGAAGAATAATATGTGATTCGTTCCATTGTTCTGGGGTGGTATCGGTTATTAAAAATATCATTAAAAAGCTTGGTTATAATCGGACTTATTTCTTCCACAGTGCTTCTCATCAGCTCATTTGTTATACTGTCAGGTCCTGGAGCTTTTTCTAGTTGTTGTGACATTATGGATTTCTGGACTTCTTGCACTAGTATTGATGGGACATCTTTATATCTTGTGACTGTATTCTTATGAGTGTTTTTTTTCTTCTTCGGCGTTATTACAGGAGTAAAGGGTTCTGTAAAAGTCTGTAGCCTTTCTCTGGATTTCTCTGCGGTTCGTTACTTGTTTGGATCTGTTGCTTTTTAATTTAGGTATCCATTCCCTACCACGCTCTCTTAATTCTTTAAACGCTTTTCTTGTTCCCCTGTTTTTTGGATTTCGACTTCTAGTTTTTTCGTTCTCTTCACTTTCCTATCGTTTCTTATATTTTCCCGAATCTGTGTACTCAGTGCCGATATTTTGTTACAGTCTTTCTTTCAGAATAATACTGGAAGGAAAAATAGAAGGCGAGAGAAAACGAGGACGGCCTAGATCAACATCCATACAGCAAGTGAAGGAGAAAGTGGGAGTCGTGGCCTATCAAGAGGTCAAATAGATCGCAGGAAATAGAGAGGAGTGGCGATTGTTCCGCCGACAATGGCTTGGCTTTTAAGAGAAAGACACATCGATTAATGGAATAGTAAATTTTGGAATCGCAAAATAAAAGTGTCAAAAAACCATTTTTATAGTAATTTACGGCTTGCAGATTTTGCTCTTAATTTGTGTGGTTAGGGCTTGCTCCATGTGACGCAAATTTTAAAATTAATAAATTATATAATTTTTGTGTTCAAAAAGAACATTCCTTTTGTATACAGCATTCTGCAGTATTTAAGAGTTAATGTTAAAAATTCTCTTACATATTTTTATGGGTAGTTAACAACGCGTATCCTCAATAGCGCCTATAGTAATTAGTTCTAATGCAGCCATGGAACGTAATATCATGAGTAGTTTAAAAAATGCTGCTTATTCGAGTTGAATCTTGTGTCATATATGTGTAAGGTATGCCAACTGTTTGAGCTGTTGTCTAGATACAAGGAGTTGCTCCTGATTTTGATTGTAAGTGATACAACTTGTTTACTGGTCTCTTAGGAATAAGAGAAAATGGTTGTCCCCAATTTTTTAATTAAAAATGTCAGCTAGAAGTGTAAGTGTCAAGTCTGAGGTTGGTACTGGCTTTGGTCTCCTTTACCCCTTCCATTCATTTAAATACGCATTATTTAAACAAAACAAGTTTTTATTAATTTATTTAAACCGTTCTCATGGCGTTCATAGCCACCGTGGTGTAGTAGTGGCCTACTCCTTTCTAAGGAGTGGCTTATGTCCAGCAGTGGACTATTAAAGGCTGTTGACGATGATGATCTCATAAACCCATAGATAATCACGTTTCCTACTAACAAATAAACTATGATGATGTTTCTCCTCAAATTGTGTAAATTTTGCCCTTTAGGTTGAATTAATTTCATAAGAGTTTGAGACTGTCGGCCCTTTCCGATAAAATATCATCAATCCTGTTAACTACAAGGTACAGAACATAATTATGAATCCCTTATTTAGTTGAGGATTTTTCTATTTCATGAAGTCCCGGTTATTAATATCTTTAAGCCCATATAACATTAGTCGTTAACAAATTCCATTGTTTGCAGCTTCCGAACTAACTATGATATTTTTAATAATTAATTAATTATTATGGTATATTCTAGTGTAGGTACTTATAAAATGAATCATCAGATCATCACTACATATGTAGAGCTTAATATATCTTGTAAGCAGATCAAACAAATCAGAAAACACAGAAATGGTTTTAGAATTTGGTTTCTAAAAAAGAACGAAGTGTAATGGTATTTTTACGTATACAATGTAAAAAAACAATTATTAATCGTCTTTTTCAATCGATTAAAAAATACATGTGCTGGAAAAAAATTGTAAGATAGCTAGAATAATGAGAAATATATATTTGTAGGATAAATAAATAGAAAAGTATAGCCAGATACTACAACTCTTTCTAATATATGATTCTGAATAACTTTTTGCTAGTTGAAATTTACATTAATTATTTATATTAGCCTTTAAAACTTATGGCAATATGTGTAACCATTAGTGTCTTCTTTTGTGAAATTACCACTTGCCATCAAATGTCGAACTTAATAAAATTTAAACCATCAATATATTTACATCTATATATCATATAACGCAAAACAGTGAGTCCAGTAGTTAACTGATATGTCGTTGCATAAAAGTTCAAAAAGGGAAGTTGCGTAAGGTTGGGTAATTCCATCGTCTCAGGTCGCAAATTTTGTAATGGCTGTAACCGACGCTGCTGCGTCGTCTGCTCGCAGATCATTGAGATGTGGCGGCGTTCCCCGCCTCAGGCGCAGCAACCTCAGCGCTGCCGTACAGCGCCCGGGCGAGCGCGCGTCTGTATCGAATTTTCGATGAATATAAAAAGAGCAATATTTTCACAAGTAAACAAAGGATCTGACCATTTATTTCTGTAAAAAGTTCACTACTCCGAAGTTTTATATACGCTTCCATAAAGCTCTTTATTTTGATCTGAATGTAGTCCACCCTAATATATTTTCTTCCATGGAACACCCTGGGCAACGTCCTCGAGTAGCAGGGCCAGCAGGCACGGAAGATAAATTCGTCGTTTTGGTGCGTGCGAGAGAAGGCGCGGGCGGTGAGGGGAGGTGAGGAGGGCGGCGGCGCCGGCGTGCGGAGGCTGCTGCGCTCAGAGCACCTGCGCCCGCGCTCCGTAGCGCCGCTCGCCGCGTGCTCGTGTACCCGCGCCCGCGCACCGGCCCGCGCCGTACCCAGCGTCGTGACGCCGTCCACGGTATGTGAAACGCCAGTGGCGCGTCGGGGTCGGCCGGCAGCGCGTCCGCCACTGCGCTGCGCCGCTTGCTGGCGCAGTCGGTTGTGTCGCCCGGCCGGTTTTGTAATTTCGCCTGACGGGCCGTGACGTCACGATACTAGTTTGACGCGCGTGCGTGACGGCCTGCGCCAGGACGCTCGCATCGCCGCGCCGCCGCCCCCGACCTTAGGACCAGTGCAATGACGTGCTCGCTAGTCTTCTTCGGCAGAGTTAGAAGTGATAACGATAGTGCGTCTTTAGTCATTCCACGGTCCAATAGTTTTTGAACCATATCTCCATTTTACCAATATACATATCGACATTTTTCAACTTCTGTTTGAGTGACTTCAGGGAATTATAATGTTTTAAAGTTTATATTATGATCAATAAACATAACCCTTCCTTAGCAGTCGGGCAAAAATTTACGCAAATATACTTGTGTTTAGAAGTAACATGGGTGTGCTGTTTGTGTAGAATACGCTAGTGTACCAGTCATGACCAATCCACTTTCGTGTGTGAGTAAATTATGTGCGCTTATATCTCGTAACGACGCTCTGGGCGAGCTTCAACTCTCTGTGTGCGTTCGCACACTTTGACAACTCGGCTCCGCGGCAGAGCCTTTTTGTGCTTTTATTTATCCTCTTTTAGCCTACCGATGTAATGAACTCGCGAATATTTTGATTCCCTTCTATTTTATAGCAATCGGTTACTATGTTTGATGTATCTACTTATATTATTGATTGCCATTAGTGCATTCGATTTGCAGTATCGTTGGATCCCTAAATTGTCCAGTTTTATTTCATATTCAAGTTATATTAGATATAGAATAGATAGATATTCGCATATTTTTGTACTTTGAACACATTAGATAAATGAATTTTTAAATACTAATAAATTTATTTAAAATACATACATTTAAGTTACAATTATATAATTTTTTTTTTTAAGTCAGATCATATAACCCGCCCCGCGTCGCTCCCGGTGCAAAGGTGCCCATGATACTGGCTGCATTGCCTCGCTGAATTGCAACGGACATTCTTTGCACCAGAAACGAGCCGGAGCGGGAGTCACCACTTTTTTCCCTAACTCGGCGACCAATCTCCGCAATTAACTTTTTAGCTTCTGACCCCCAACTGCCCAAAGTCTCCACCGCAATAGGCACAAAATAATAGTGCGTCTCCATTGCGGCGTATTTTGATCGCTTCCTACTAGCGGCATCCTCCGCCGCCGCCGCCGGGGCTAATAATAAAATAAATGAATTAAATTTGTTTTCTCGTATGCTGCTAATAAATATAGAAGTAAACCTCTACGTAATGAACTCGACGGCAAGATTAATTTTAAATAGATTTAGCGTAGACCCATCATTTGATTTTATAATATACCTATACTAGTATAAAACCCTATGGGGACTAAAAAGGAAAATGTCATGAAAAAACCTTAAAAACATGGAGTATGTATAAAAAAAAGTTTGTTCGTTTCGTGCCCATGTCTGGGTTGTATATTTATCCTTGTCACACGTTCGAGTCTCAGCCACTGTAACTATGCATCGAGAACTCAGTATCCCTCTCGGTACAGCTTCCGAACCAATACGATTCGTTTTAGCTTTTTATCAAAGGAGACCGATGGCTAGGTTCGGATTAATCGTAAAGTCTTGTGGATACTGTTTATGCAGGTGAATGTTATATATTTATAGCTTTATTTAAAAAAAAAATTCAGTTTAATAATGATTGGTTTCATCATCAACAGCTTTTAACAGTCCACTGCTGGACATAGGCCTTTCCTTAGAAAGGAGGTTTAGTCAGTCAAAACAGCAGTGATGGGTGTAGAATTAATAATGTTGACAAACATTTTAGATTAAGGATAGTGTAATTTATTTGTTTGTAAATAATTGTTTACTGACGAGTTTGACAAGCACGTGGATACAATAGTTACCTGTTTGTACCGTTCGGTGGTGAGTCTCGTTTCGTACGCCAGGCGTACCGGAGCAGGGCGGTTGCTGAACAAGTTCGGGCGCTTCTCGACGATCAGGTGCCACTTGATACTCGTTCTTTTCTAACTGGATTTGAATCAGCTGTTAGTGTGGTGCCCTTGCCGTCTTATACGTATGTAAATGTACTCTTTGCTGTACTCTTATATTGTGGTTGAATGGTCTAGTGACTTAAGCTAAATAAAAGTTTTGCAATTATTTTGCGATATGTATATTGGATGGATGTGTATTGAATTTGTTTACACAGGTGTTACCTATATATTCTTACTAGGTTTACAATGAGAACTTATTAAGCGAGCACGTTATTACGCGATTTCCAAAAAGTCATCTTGTCAAATTCTTATGCAGAAAAACCCTTCACATATATTTCTTTTTCAGAAATTGTTGTTAAGGCAGTCAAGTGTAGAGCGGGGTGCTCCTATTCGGAGCCTCCGCCCTCACGAAGACGTCGCCAATCGTGCAGAGGTACGGCGGTATGTCCGCGTCACCGTCGCCGGTGCCTGCGTGCGAAGAGCGCGCTCGCACTCCTAGGGCCAGCGCGTCACCCGCGTCAGGTCCGCGCTCACCCGCGCCTGCGCACGCCGTTCTTGCGACCATGACCCCTGTGCAACCGGCACACGATTATTATCCTCACAAAGTTGAAATGGACTCCGATGATGGCTACCCCCCAGAGGCGCACTCCTATCGCCACTCACCGCATGAACTGGCAGCATACGCCACCGATAGCAAAGTGCCAGTGCAGCCTGATGTTTACGACCAAGGAATGGAATCAATTGACGAGAAAACTCCAATTGATTTAATATATGAAGATGAGAAGCAGACCGTCATATACACTACTACACCAGATCAGAAACGCGTGGAGATGATCAGCGGACAATTGGACGACGGCCAGTTGGTTAGCAGCGGTGGTCAGCTGGTGGACGGTGGAGTGTCGGTAGTGGTTGGTGCGCCTGGACAGCCGCCGACAGTTCTCGTACTAGCGGACCATGTCGTCGATGAACTTGGACAAGTCATTACAATACCCAGGTAATGTACCTGCCACCATTGTCATTAATTACATAATATTTTTTTTATAATGTTTTTATAATCGTGTTGGCAATACTATTTATCGCATTATGTCTAATAGCTATTTCCATAAACAACGATATTTCGTATCGTTTTTTTTTTACATTAAATTTAAAAGATAAAATGGAAATATCGCTTTGCCATCGTTGCCAGGTGTCTTTGATTGTGGGAAATTCCACTGTCAAATTAAGAAATTCCATGTCAAATCTGGTTTTTATTTTACATAAAATATTAGTATCTTTATACTTTTATATCACCAGAGATATTTACAGATCGGTGATTTAAGGAAGGATTGAAGGAAAGGTACTTGAAGTTGGCCCAAACGTAAGGCTTTAACCTAAGCTTTAAGACCCTAACGTAACACCAAAAGATGGACAAATTTTAAATGCAGTCGTTTATAAAAATGTCGTTAACATAATTATTTCGCTTGCTGCCATTTAATTCTCGAGATTTGGTTGGTTAAAAGCAATTGATTGTTTGTGCAAGTCAGTGGTATGTAGTTGAGAAAATGAGGTGTTTGTGTCGGAGGTCCATTGTAACGGTTGTGCGCGTTAGGAGCGGCGCGTGTGGGCGGAGCGACGCGCTCACCTTGAACTTGCCGCGAGAGCGCCGTGTCCGAGCGCTCCGAGCTCTACTCGCCGGCCACTCGGCCCCGCAGTGATGCTGTGCCCCGCCGCACTGCCTTTTAGTTGAGTCTAGACAGCTACATACCACGTTAACGACCACGGCGTCAAATATTATTGGCACAAACGAATTTCCTTCTAGGCAATTTTTTGTCACGTTGTGTACGGAACTTAAATATAAATTACTTGATTTTTATGGTGTTGTTAAAATAGTATATACGCAGGTGTTTTTTGTTAACGCATAAAAAATTTACTCAAGATTTTCATCAAAATAATTGAATTGAAGAAACAAACCAATCTGATAATATTCGAAACTAATAGTTTTGATGTAGTTAATATTAACATAAAGGTAGGTAATTTAGTTTTGGCTCTTATTTCAAGTATTCGTATTATGAGTTGCTAAAACGCAAGTCGTGTCATTAAACACGGCAGTTATCCAGTTGGACGTAACCGTCACAAAAAGCCTCGACCATGTGCTTGTGCATGTCATTCATATCGTATGACGTTAGAGGCTTAGGTACATCTACGCGCCGCATGTAGTAAAATTTGTTACGTCTGTTTGATGTCTCAGTCGAGTTCTGTCAGCACCTGTGCCATTTTCACATTAAATATGTGCAAATAATATCTGATCATACGGCCGACGCCAATCTAAATGGTATAGTATAAGGGGGCAAACGAGCAGATGGGTCACCTGATGGTAAGCAACTACGGCCGCCCATGGACACCCTTGGAGTCCCTCCCGCTCGAGTCAGCGGGAGGGGGATTTGTAAATACTTGAGTTTTTTTATTGTTCTAAAGTTGGTGATTTGTTTTGATGATTTTGTTCTACGTTATACAAAAGGGCAACCAACGATCCAAAGCAGTGTGTGTGTATAAAACAAAATACTGTCAAAACGTTGTATGGGTTGTTTCATCATTTCATGTTACATATTGTTTTAATTCTCAGGCCCGTCTAGGTATATACAATAAGCATACCTATTGGAGGCCAAAACAAAATTGTTATTCTGAGTCTGGATGTTCTTTGTGTCCGTTTCATGAATGTTTGTAAAGTTCCCCGCGACACAGGATTAATCCTAGTGTGGGAGTTGTATTTGAAAAAAAAAGGGGCCAGAGTGCGCAATGGAAAAGAGGGGCCTGTCTATATGGCCAAATTAGTAGAATTTGGCAAATAAGCATACGGTCTGCCTTATCTCAGCCTGTAAGCGCTTGCAACACCGGTTTTGTTGTCTTGTTGTTATATTCTTATTTAGAACATACTATTGATATTATTGCTTTTAAGAGTCTACTAAGAGGCACTTCTTCGTCCATTTCTGATCTTTTGTAGCACACTTGGGAGATTAAAGCATTCTAAAGTTACGCTTTATAAATTTACTTAAGGAAATACATAATCAAGACGCTTTTTAATATACTCGTTTTAGGTCGGAACAGACTTTTTTGAAAATAGCGATTCATCATTTTGCATGAATAATAATCTTAAATAAATAAAACTTTAGACATATATCTGTATTCTCCTATATTAGTAGTTATTATTAATTATTAGATAATGTATAATAGACACTCGGTATACAACATTACGTAAGTACATCTTGATAGTAGGTATTTACGGAATGGACACCGAGTCACTATTTCAACATTGTAAGGGTAGGTTCAGATGACAAGCGCTCAGCGCGCGTTGAACTCGCGTTGAATTTTTGTATAGTGTTCACATGGTGCGCGCTTGTCAGGCGTTAAACGCGCGTTGTCGCGGCCAGTTTGAGTTCTACATTTGTCGAAGATGGACGTAGAAACAGTTTTATCGGTGATTTTATATAGACGGCAGAAACGACACAACAGAAGACGGAGATATTGGGTTCACCCAATTTTGTCAACCAGGCTGACTGAAAGTCAGTACATTATTTTATATCCTAAGTTAAGGCAATTTGAGCCCAAATTCTTTAACTACTTAGAATGTCCACTAGACTTATGCTCTCATAAAAAACTCGTACATAGCTGTGCGATTTCAAAAGTTTTGCAATTATTTTGCGATATGTATATTGGATGGATGTGTATTGAATTTGTTTACACAGGTGTTACCTATATATTCTTACTAGGTTTACAATGAGAACTTATTAAGCGAGCACGTTATTACGCGATTTCCAAAAAGTCATCTTGTCAAATTCTTATGCAGAAAAAACCCTTCACATATATTTCTTTTTCAGAAATTGTTGTTAAGGCAGTCAAGTGTAGAGCGGGGTGCTCCTATTCGGAGCCTCCGCCCTCACGAAGACGTCGCCAATCGTGCAGAGGTACGGCGGTATGTCCGCGTCACCGTCGCCGGTGCCTGCGTGCGAAGAGCGCGCTCGCACTCCTAGGGCCAGCGCGTCACCCGCGTCAGGTCCGCGCTCACCCGCGCCTGCGCACGCCGTTCTTGCGACCATGACCCCTGTGCAACCGGCACACGATTATTATCCTCACAAAGTTGAAATGGACTCCGATGATGGCTACCCCCCAGAGGCGCACTCCTATCGCCACTCACCGCATGAACTGGCAGCATACGCCACCGATAGCAAAGTGCCAGTGCAGCCTGATGTTTACGACCAAGGAATGGAATCAATTGACGAGAAAACTCCAATTGATTTAATATATGAAGATGAGAAGCAGACCGTCATATACACTACTACACCAGATCAGAAACGCGTGGAGATGATCAGCGGACAATTGGACGACGGCCAGTTGGTTAGCAGCGGTGGTCAGCTGGTGGACGGTGGAGTGTCGGTAGTGGTTGGTGCGCCTGGACAGCCGCCGACAGTTCTCGTACTAGCGGACCATGTCGTCGATGAACTTGGACAAGTCATTACAATACCCAGGTAATGTACCTGCCACCATTGTCATTAATTACATAATATTTTTTTTTATAATGTTTTTATAATCGTGTTGGCAATACTATTTATCGCATTATGTCTAATAGCTATTTCCATAAACAACGATATTTCGTATCGTTTTTTTTTTACATTAAATTTAAAAGATAAAATGGAAATATCGCTTTGCCATCGTTGCCAGGTGTCTTTGATTGTGGGAAATTCCACTGTCAAATTAAGAAATTCCATGTCAAATCTGGTTTTTTATTTTACATAAAATATTAGTATCTTTATACTTTTATATCACCAGAGATATTTACAGATCGGTGATTTAAGGAAGGATTGAAGGAAAGGTACTTGAAGTTGGCCCAAACGTAAGGCTTTAACCTAAGCTTTAAGACCCTAACGTAACACCAAAAGATGGACAAATTTTAAATGCAGTCGTTTATAAAAATGTCGTTAACATAATTATTTCGCTTGCTGCCATTTAATTCTCGAGATTTGGTTGGTTAAAAGCAATTGATTGTTTGTGCAAGTCAGTGGTATGTAGTTGAGAAAATGAGGTGTTTGTGTCGGAGGTCCATTGTAACGGTTGTGCGCGTTAGGAGCGGCGCGTGTGGGCGGAGCGACGCGCTCACCTTGAACTTGCCGCGAGAGCGCCGTGTCCGAGCGCTCCGAGCTCTACTCGCCGGCCACTCGGCCCCGCAGTGATGCTGTGCCCCGCCGCACTGCCTTTTAGTTGAGTCTAGACAGCTACATACCACGTTAACGACCACGGCGTCAAATATTATTGGCACAAACGAATTTCCTTCTAGGCAATTTTTTGTCACGTTGTGTACGGAACTTAAATATAAATTACTTGATTTTTATGGTGTTGTTAAAATAGTATATACGCAGGTGTTTTTTGTTAACGCATAAAAATTTACTCAAGATTTTCATCAAAATAATTGAATTGAAGAAACAAACCAATCTGATAATATTCGAACTAATAGTTTTGATGTAGTTAATATTAACATAAAGGTAGGTAATTTAGTTTTGGCTCTTATTTCAAGTATTCGTATTATGAGTTGCTAAACGCAAGTCGTGTCATTAAACACGGCAGTTATCCAGTTGGACGTAACCGTCACAAAAAGCCTCGACCATGTGCTTGTGCATGTCATTCATATCGTATGACGTTAGAGGCTTAGGTACATCTACGCGCCGCATGTAGTAAAATTTGTTACGTCTGTTTGATGTCTCAGTCGAGTTCTGTCAGCACCTGTGCCATTTTCACATTAAATATGTGCAAATAATATCTGATCATACGGCCGACGCCAATCTAAATGGTATAGTATAAGGGGGCAAACGAGCAGATGGGTCACCTGATGGTAAGCAACTACGGCCGCCCATGGACACCCTTGGAGTCCCTCCCGCTCGAGTCAGCGGGAGGGGGATTTGTAAATACTTGAGTTTTTTTATTGTTCTAAAGTTGGTGATTTGTTTTGATGATTTTGTTCTACGTTATACAAAAGGGCAACCAACGATCCAAAGCAGTGTGTGTGTATAAAACAAAATACTGTCAAAACGTTGTATGGGTTGTTTCATCATTTCATGTTACATATTGTTTTAATTCTCAGGCCCGTCTAGGTATATACAATAAGCATACCTATTGGAGGCCAAAACAAAATTGTTATTCTGAGTCTGGATGTTCTTTGTGTCCGTTTCATGAATGTTTGTAAAGTTCCCCGCGACACAGGATTAATCCTAGTGTGGGAGTTGTATTTGAAAAAAAAAGGGGCCAGAGTGCGCAATGGAAAAGAGGGGCCTGTCTATATGGCCAAATTAGTAGAATTTGGCAAATAAGCATACGGTCTGCCTTATCTCAGCCTGTAAGCGCTTGCAACACCGGTTTTGTTGTCTTGTTGTTATATTCTTATTTAGAACATACTATTGATATTATTGCTTTTAAGAGTCTACTAAGAGGCACTTCTTCGTCCATTTCTGATCTTTTGTAGCACACTTGGGAGATTAAAGCATTCTAAAGTTACGCTTTATAAATTTACTTAAGGAAATACATAATCAAGACGCTTTTTAATATACTCGTTTTAGGTCGGAACAGACTTTTTTGAAAATAGCGATTCATCATTTTGCATGAATAATAATCTTAAATAAATAAAACTTTAGACATATATCTGTATTCTCCTATATTAGTAGTTATTATT